TTTTAGCAGGATTTTCACAGTTACTATTGTGCCAGAACTCCACATGACACAAAGGAATGTAGTGGGTCAGCAGCTTGAAAATAAAGTCTAATTTTATATTTAGGCAACTTATATAAGCTTTTGCTAATTAAGAGAAGCGTTTGCCTATCATTCTCCCAGAGGAGAAAAGCACGCACGATACTTGAAAGGTCCCTTCAAGTTAAAACCAGAATTGCTCATAATTGGCCTTCCTATAAAAGATTTCTAAGAAATTTTCACAGGCCACATCAATATTTAAAAATAAAATCAAGTGTTATGTTTGAAAACACAGTGAGAAATGTGTTGGGTTTTAAGTAGCACAAGATGATAATGTTAGCACCTCTGCTAACAAAATCTCTGCAGCACTTGAAAGGACCCAATTAAATTAGCAGGGACTTTTTGTTTTCTGCTTTTTTGTGCTCTACAAGTAATTTGGCTGTCCTTGGCTGCTGATTTCAATGGAGCTGAACCAGGAACCAATTTGCCAGGGAAGGAGGCGTCCAGTTTTCACTCTACATGAATAATTACTGGGACTGTTTTTGGAAAATAGGCTGAATTCTGTGATGCAGCTTCAGTCAATGGGGGAAAATACTGCTCAGGACAACAATTTACCTGCTCCTGGCTGGAGGGGGGAGCACCAGACTGTACGTTTCTCAGCATGGCAGGATTGGAAAGGTGCTTGTCAGAAATCAACTCTTCCTCATGACAGATCAACTCAGACAGAGCAAGGGAGATGATCGGGGGTGACTGAGCAAAGTAAGCAGGGCACTGCAGTTTTGTACACAGCAGTGATGGGGATGCTGTGGCAAACAGTAGCTGTCATTACACCTAATCGTAAGGTTGAACGTATAGATTAGAAAGAAGCAGCTGGCAGCTCATAAGCGATTAACCAGTCAATTCTACGGACTGCCAGAGCTTAACAACTCCAAACATTTTTTGAAATTACAGTTAACATTTACCTATGTTGCATCCTATTGATGAGCTTTAATCACCACTGATATCACGCGACCGTTGCCTGGCTGTGCTTTCAACTACAGGATTTAGCTTCAAGCAGCAGGGTGAGTAACATGCCCAGTGAGGCAGCTCTCATCTGGTATTAGTACCTTCTTTAACTGGAGATCTTCATCAGCTGTCTGCTCATTGCAAAACATTGGCAGAAGGTGCTGAAAGTTTTCTTTTGAAATGGCTCTGCTGGAGCAGCACAGGTTGTCTTTCTAGTTCAATGATTCCTGTTGCTTGCAGGCTTGGCTGAGCAAAAATACTGCTCTCCCCATCCCTTTGTACCATTACTATGCTTAGAGACTTCCAAACCCTTGCAACATTAAGGACAAATTTGGCCACCTTCCCATGTTTTATAGGCTTTTTTCTTTCCTCAAGGTTTCTGGGTTCACACAATTAATCATTTTTGTTCCAGTTCATTCTGCTTGATAATTAAGTCCATTTGTTCTAAACAGCTTTCTTCAAACACGGGGAATTCATATGTGTGAAACATACCATTCAGCAGTGAGGGAAAGAAGCTACTGAGTTCTTTGGCTACATTGCCAGCAGTGAAAGGTTTTGACTGTCTTGAAGGTACCATTCAGGAGTCATCAACTAAGGAATAACTGTTAAAACAGTGAACAATATTCTTCACAAACTTTCATTTTGACTAACTCAAATAATCTGGTTGGGTGACTTTACTAGCAGTGACTGACATTACTATTATTGTACCTTCACTTTCATCAGAGACAAAACCTGCTGTTCCCAGAACATCTGGAATTTTCTCATCCCTCCAGTACTCTGCTTGGCCTTTTCTTCTCCAAAATATGCTCAGCCTCTGTCTGGGGAGCTGCTCTCCCCTCCCAGAGCTCAGAGGTGACAGCCTACCTGCTTTCCTGAGGCTTCTTCTGAATATGAAATCTTCACAACACACTGCTCACAATAAACAAACCCAGGTATCTAAAAGGACATTACTGTTAACTCTTGCCTGCTGCTCTGCTACTGCTATCAGAGTCCAACAGCAATTTTATGGGGATACTTCTTTAATGTAACTCTTTTCCACATTTTGCTGGCTGGAAAGAGCTTTAAGATGACTATGAGCTATAGCTAATCTTCCCCTGAGGTCTTCAGACTTACTGCAGCATTCCCCATTTGAATTCACCCTGCATCCATCACTTAATTTCCTAACTAGATGAAGCACAATGGTTTCTGGCCCATCTGGCTCTGGAGCTCCCATTACAATAGCAGCCTGGGTATTAAAAAAAAGACAAACACCTCTGAGGTCCTTGTCAGTCTAACACATTCTTACTAGAACTAATAAAACACACATAGTTTAATAGATGAAGACTTGCTCATTCTCTGAAAAATATCTTGGTGGGAGTTATGACAAAACTATTCCCATTCTCCCATTTTGTACTTAGCATTATCTGTGCAGCTATGAATCACCTTCGCTGCCAAACGGGGGACAGGGGAAAGCCAGTAAGACTCCTGCAGGCAAAGGCTTTAGCTGAATCTGTAGAAGGTTCTCTGTGCTTTATGGTTCTCTGCAAAGTATTTGTATTGCTGACATTTGTACCAATGCTGAGTACACGGAGAACTCGAGCGACAACAGGCAACATATCAAGTCTGCAAAAGTGAACTTCAATCTGTGCTTCCCACAGATGACAAAAAGAATTTATGAAGAAGAGCTCTGATTTATAGTGAGCAATTCTGCCCCTGGGAAAATGGAGAATTAATAATCAGAGAGACTATGCAGATCTAAACCAGCGGTGATATAAATCAATAGACACGGCTGCATAGTCTGAAGATGCCCTGCCTGTTCTGCCTGCAGCAGTAAAGAGGGGGAGACCTGAAGGGAAAAAGCAGATCAGGTAGCTTCCAGCTAGCAGCCACAGCTAAATCTAGTAGGGTTTGTGAACACCAACAGATGGGATGTGGCAACCGAGTCTGCAATCCTTCTCCTTTGCCATGGGCAGCCTGGCAGATTAGCCTGCAATTAGGACTGCAGATGTGACATCAGCCTGTGATGGAGAAAAGAAGCAGGCTAGGAAGTGACACAAATATTTTCTCATACAAATCACCTTTCTTTTTCTTTTTTAACAAGTTTTTTGACTTCTTTCTTGACATTTTTCCTCTTTTCTCTCTCCTTTCCTTACTTTTTCCTGTTTAAATGTTCTTCTTCATTAAATAAATATAAATCCTGCTCTTCATAAAGGTCTTCATGCATCTTCATGCAATTTACAACATTTTTTCAACCTTGGAGATGAGGAGTTCATTTTCTGTGCTTTCTAGTGCTGTACAATGACAAGTGGGCTTTATGAATCTGTGGGCCACAGAGTAAGCCTGAAATAAAACCAGACTGCAATCAGGAAATCACACCCATTGAAAGGATTGTTATTTAGCAGGCACTAAGTAAGTAACTCACCCTAGTTTGTGGGGTTTCTGTAAAGCAGGTTAGCTCCCAGGTTCCCCATGCACATGGGATGTGCCAGCCCACATGTAAAAGCAGTGATGATATGGATAGAGGAACGAGAGCTTAGCTCAGATCTGGCTGTGCACAGAGATGCTTTGGTTTTGCAAGGAGCTGGAGGGAAGGCAGACTGCTTTCCCCAGTCCTAGCACTGTGTGTACCTCCAGGATAGTCCTCAGGAGCAGATTGAGGTCATTGCAAGATGCAGAGCATGTACAGACACTATAAGGACAGATGTCCTGTGTTGGGCATTGGCCACCCTTTCAGTTGGAGCATGCGGGAGGATGGAAGGGATAGATAAGAGGTCATCTGCAGCGTTACTGTTCCTGGTAATGCTGGGGTCCATCACTCCATCCTCACTCCAGTGGAGCTCCTGTACCCTAGCAAGATTGGGAAAACCCCAAAGGGCTCCATTCAATGGAGACTGAAAAGAAGGGTGGCAGTGTTTCTGGCTGATTAACATGGCCTTCTCATATGTTCCTGAAGAGCAGAAAGCCCAAGTCTATCATACAAGAACTGTTTCAAATTTAGAACCAATTGTTTGCTGTTTGTGTTTGGGAAAGCAGAACACTAAGTACTTGATTTCAACAGGGAAACCAAGTTTACAGTCAGGTATCTCAATATCAAAAATATTCTGTTATACTATGCTTATATTTTGATTTATAAAGCTCTTGCTCCATCTTCTCATCGCTTCTTATACCCCTTTGGTAATTCAAGCTCTCATCTCACATTCCTTTTTGAAATGCTCTTTTAAAAACCAGAGAAATCTCTTTAAAAAGCATTTTGCCTCCACTTCTATGACTCTTACTTGTAACTGATAGAAATAGAGGTATAATTAGACATTAAAAAGTCAACACATAAAGCTTCTCAATTATGATTTGCCTATTGAGTTAACATCCTTGTAAATTATTCTGCAGGATATGCGATTGCCTTTTCCAGACATAATTGCATTCTTTATCCTATAGAGGCTTTCCATCAAGTTCCCTAAAGCTGAAGGTACTTGTTAATTGTAATAACAGCCCATGCACCAAGCAGTCATTTACACTGTCCTTCCTTGCTCACAACTTCCATATGCTGGCAGTTTACAATATCCCACAAACTGCACATTTGCGTCTCAGACATAGGTTTTTCCCTCTACATCATGTAGACTTATGTATCATATGCCATAACTAATGTATCTCACATTTTTATCTCACATTTATATATACCATATTTGTATCTCACATTTTCAGGTGCAGAATCTAGGCCCCGCTATTCTCATCATTCATGACATAGGATAGATAAGCTTTATTACAGCTACCTGTAGCACTTTAAAAGCAGCACTGCTGAATTTTAAGCTATTTCCCAAGACCATGGGAAATAAACAGACCTAATCATAGTCTTCCAGAGGGCAGCAATATTCCCTGTGAGCACATTTATTAATTAACAAGGCACATATTGCTGCTATTTGATACTGTAGCGTTTAATAGTGAGTGATTAACTTCAGGTAGCTTGATAATCAGGTGCAAATTAGGAAGGGGTGGGACCGGGATGTTGGAACCATTTAAAGATCAGGCAACCTCCATTTTCATCCCTTTTTCTAGAGATAGGTGCCTCAGTGATGTTCTCCTGTGCCTGACCATGCTATGCTCATGGTGAAAGAGCAGGGCAAAGAGACAGCACTGATGTAGGTATAGGAGAGATGTCCGTTATGACTCCCCACTTGGTGCTCTCCGTCTCCCTGTGCTGGGCTGCAGAAGCTGCATGTCTACCATGGCTCACATAAAGAGGTGCCTCCTTTGCCAAGCTGCCAAAGAGAATCATCATCTTGACTCTTGGGAGGTGGATTTGTTTTGCTCCTGAAGGCCAGCAGCTATCAGGTATGTGCTCCACCGGGGTCTGGGACCATGCAAGGCCTGATGGCAGGGTTCCTGGTGCTGCTTGATGGGAGGCTGTGCTCCAGTTCAGTGTTTCTTTCCTCATGAGAATTCACATATAGCTGGTTTGTACACAGTGCTCAATAGAGAATCTGTTGGCTTTAATCCATCTGTTTGGATGTATTTGGTGGGTCTTTGACTGCCTTTTGGGAAAAGAAACTCACCTATGCTTGCTTTGCTAGAAAAGAAACTCACCTATGCTTGCACTTTGCTAGTGCAGGCAAACTCAGGTGATTGCTTTCCCATAAATTAGGCTCCATCTCAAAAGCAGGACATGGTGGTAGCTCCATAGCATTGACCTGGGGAGGGGGTGGAAAAGCTATAGTAATATTGGTTACCAGCTGAGGTTTTCTCTGCTGTGCTTTTATCCTCTTATTTTCTATCTTAAGAATATGTGGTTTGGTGATGAGAAACTTTAGAAAATCTCATTGAAATTCTATTTATTTCACCTTTTTCTCTCCATGTTTCCAAGACTGGGGAGGTCTGCTGAACAGTTTGATTCTTCCAGCTGATCCCTTCTGCCTCTCCAGTGCTCTCTTAGCAGGAAAATCCTCCTCTCATCCTCCTCCTCTTCTCTTGCCATGTTCAGAAACCACACTCGTGGGCTGAAGGACTCGCTGTGCTGAGGTTCATGGTCACTTTCTGTGGTCTGAGTTATTTCTGAGACTAATTCGCTTATGAGTTCTTGACAAGGTTTGTTAAGTGCCTGCTTAACAAACATCCAAAATTTGAACCTTTAGAGATGTCAAATGGGGAGTCAAGCCTAGCTCTTCCTTTGGCACCTGCCTTGTCTCAAACTACTGTGCAAAGCTTGCATATATTATTTTCCTTTCTGCTGTCGGATCTTTTCTCCACATCATTTACTCCTTTGAATAACACTTTGGAAAAGGAACTTTGATGTCTGCTTTCAGCTGAAAAATGACCTGTTCAAGCACATTGACAAGAAAGCTGTAATTTCAGTGTGCCATCTTTCCTTCTACAGTCATGAACAACTGAGAAGTAATTTCTTAGTCACAAGTTTCAATAGACATGCAAGGAAATGCTCTAATACTCAATTGAGGAGCTGTATTAGATGTAATTTCTGCAAATGACCCCTTATCAGTGTATCTAGCTTCCTCCTGGCATGAGAAAACACCTTCGCAAGTGTATTGTTCCAGGAAATCTCAAAGAGTTGTTTTATTTGGGTTTTTGTAAGATCTATTAGTTTTGCTTTTTAACTTAAACTGCTGTGTTTAGGAACAGGTTTTTTTTAGGCTGTGTATCTACACACCTTTAGGTATGACTATAAATGCCCCTGTGCCCCTGTTCCTGTTGTATTTCTGCAGCATACACAGCTTTTTGGCTGTTTGAAACACAGATTGGCTTTTAAGAGGCCCTGATCAGCCAGGTGATTTTATTGAGGAGTTTATTGTTGGAGAGAGCAAACCCCATGGCACACAGGATCCAATGGAAGTGCTGGCAGCCCAGGAACATGGTGCTGTTTATGCCACAGTTACGATAAACACTCTGAAAAGCCCTTCCAGTTATTTTAAATGACTTTGTTCTCCGAATCCCTGAACCCTGATCACTTGCAAATTGAAGTGCTCTTAAAAACTTTAAGTACTCCATTAATTTTAAATCGCTCTAAACTGTAGGAGCCCAGAAACCCAAAGCACTCCTGAAGATCCAAAGCACTACGATTACTTTGAATCACTCAGAAAATGTTGGTTCAAACCCCATTTTATGCGTTAATTTTTTTCTCAGCGCAACAAATAGAGCAGTAACATCTTCAGCCCCCTGGGAAAAAGCCACCATCCTAAGGACAAGCCTTCACCCAAATTGTTAAAATAAAAAAGGAGCATCTTTGAGAACATTCAGTAATATGCAATGATTGCCAGAAAATGTGTATGCCTTTGCACGCATCTATCTACCCCGAATCTTAGTTTCAGGTAGACATCTGCTATGTTGTTTCCCTGTTAGTGATGACTTTATTAAAGTCTTGAAGAGGCTGGTTCTGCTTTTTCATGCTCACCAGCAGCACCCTGCCCCCTCCATCAGTGCATTGTGATAGGAAAACTTCATGGGGGCTGCTGGGCATGGCTGCTGCCTGTGAGCACAGAAACCCGTCTGATTTCCGCCCGGATTGATGATAAGCTTCATCTCTGAAGAACAGCTCTGAGATTCTGGTATTTTAATAAATCCTATATGAAAAGAGAGACAGGTTGATAAGGGTCTGAGGTTATTGGCAGGATATATCTGCAGAATGTGAATAGGGGGCAGTGAAACTAATGTTCCCCACCCTTGGCTGTTGCACGCTCTTAATACACCACTGGCACAGCCTCCTGCTGAGGTACTTTATGTCCATTTCCATCGCATCTCTGATGGAAATGCCCAGTCAGCCCAAGCCCCCTGGACCAGCTGCCTGTCCCTCTGGTGTGCATATGTGGTATGGATGCTCAGCACCTTTAGGCTGATAGATTTTCACACTATAATGTCACTGCATTGTCTCTCCTGCATGTCATTCCTTGTCATTCCCCAGCACAATGGTAACCCCCAAAATACATCTCACTTGCACTCTGGGGGTATTTTGTTATGGAGAAGAAAAAATTTCAAAATTCCTTACAGTTATGATACTTTTATAAAGGTAGGGGAAATACCTTGCAATAACTGTGCAAAGTTTGCCCAGTTCCTGAATTCTTTCTGATGCCAAAATGGGGCTTATAGGACTGTAATGTAGAAACTGATACTGTCTGCACCTAAAGCTACTGCCGCGTAAATACTTACATTGCCTCATTGACTTCAGTGGTGCTATTCCTATGCACAAGTGTCTGCCTTGTAGTTTTAGTGACCTAATGATATTACATACAGGTTCTACTTCCAGCTGCACCCCTCCTACTGAGCTGCTCAGGGTTGCTGTAGATCCAATCAAGTCCTGGTGCTCAGGCTGTGTCTGAGAAGAAAAAGGCGGCAGTTCTGCTGAGCCCCCTCCTTTTCTGAGTCAAAAGCTCTATCACTTCATGATTGCTGTGCCCAAGGCAGCCTCCAACTGTCACATCACCTGTAAGCCCTTCTCTGTTCACAACAGGTCCAGCTTGTTCCTGGGATGGCAGCTATGTCATAGTTTTCTTTCTGCACAATGACTTCCATCCATCTCTTGCTGTTAGCTGCCCATGCCGTGTGCCTGTAAACTTGTAAAATGCTGTCTCTTCGTACATCCTTACACATTTCCTGCTCTGCTCTCAAAGTGGGAACAAAGCTATGGTGCACTGGATGCTGCCTGACTTCACTTTCTCAGCATCTTCTGCTGGGGACAAAGGACACAGTGTGTGGGGCTGGCAGTCTCTGAGTGTCAGCCACCAGACATTGACAGACAGGTTTCATATTCAGCGAGGAAAATATCACTCCATTTAATTGCAAGGTTGCCTATGGACAAGACATGTAAGTGTAAATGAGCTCCAAAGAACATCTGTGACAGGTTCCTGGCATGTGCTAGGAGCCTTTCTCTGCAAGTGAAAGAACATGAGAAAAGAGGCAGCTCTAGCAGCTCAGTGAGAAGATAAGATGCTGCAGCTCCATCTTGTCTGGCTTCATGCCCATCTCTGAACTGCATAAAAACAGAGGAAGGGGACTTGCTTTTTAGATGCAGATCTGAAGCCATCAAGCACAAAGGAACCCTTATCCCAGAACACCAAATCAGGCTCAAACACCCCAGTGCCACCTCTGGCCCACCCGCATACCAGATATTTAGCTTTCTCTTGCAAAGCATATTCCCCACCTTCACAGCATCCAGGACACTTGAGTATAAGGTAGAGAAGAGCAGAGGCATCTCTAGACCAGCTCAGGGACATAGTTGCTTTGGCTTACTTCTTTGAGGAAGGAGAAGGAATAGAGGTGTTCTCCTGTGACGCTTGTTGCATGGGGTAACGGTGAAATTGAGCTCAGAGGTTAATACAACACCTTGGAATCCTGTGTTTCCAGCTCAGTGTCCCTGCTCACCTGCCCAGCAGCAGGAGGTGGTGGCACCGCTGTTCCCAGTGGACATGGTGTTGTGGGGTGTGCCGTGTGCTGCTGTCCTCTCATCCCTTTAGTAAGACTCCTTGTCTCCCTTGGCTTCCAGATTGTGCAAGGTGAAGTGGCTCTTGTTCATGTAGAGATGCTCTGCTGCAGAAAGCTTCCCACAGGAACAGCATCAAAGCCAGAAGTTAGTTCTGACATGAGAACCTCAAGAGACTGGTCAGTGCATGGGGCTGGCTGCTGGGCTGGCTGGGCACTGTACGTATTTCTTATTACTTATGTATCAGAGCAACCCCCTGAAGAGCTGGGACTCTATTTGAGACTCTGCTGTGTGCATCAGGCCCCGGGCTGCTCCAGTGGAGCAGAGCTGGGCGCTTCACCCTATCCCAAGGGATCTGTGCAAACTCCTGCTTTGTTAGTGATGTTTAAGAAGATCCTGCAGACGAGCTGCTTCCAGCTAATATCTAATCAAAAGGAAATACCCTTTTGGCAAGGCGTGGGAGCAGCACAGCGCTGGGGACAAGTCACACTGATCTTCAGCTGCTGGAGGAGAGTGAGAGATGACTAATATGTAATAAAGCAGCACAACAGGTTTGCCCCCGGTAAAGCCTTTGATTTCAGCGGCAGCCATTGACAGATGAAACCAAGAAGTGCTTCATATGCTCAGATAAAGCCGTCTGGGTGCCATCATAAATAGAAACTTTAAATAGACTTTTTCTTGTGCAAAGGATGAGAAGTAACAGCTCTGCAGGAAAGCTTTTGGGGCTCTCCATTAAGTCATTTGTTCTTCGTTTGTTTTCCCAGATCACTTTCAAAGTAGTATTTATCACAGAGTACATAATTCAGCATCGCTTAAAAATATAAATAAAATCTCTGATCATTGCTTCCAAGAAACAGTATCAAATATTTAGGTTTTTCTCGTTTCTTAAAGTAACTGTTTCTGTCAAAGCACTGTGGCCTCCTGTGTGGCTGAGCAATGCAAACCTTTCATTCAGTCAAAACAACCACCAGATACTTTTGCATTTGGGAAATCTGTTTAAGAGCTGTCTCTGCTTTTAGGCTCTGATCTCTGTGCCATGTTCAGCTAGGGGAAAAGAACTGGAAAAGTAATTTCTCATCACTCTGGGGAGATTTTTACTTTGGGAGCTCAGCATTGTCAGTTGCCTCTGGCACAGCCCTAATTCCATGAACACATCAAGGACTGACGTTGAGCCCATGCATCTTGAAGCATCCCTATAACTAACTGCACAGAGGGAAGGATGTGCTGTGAGAGGACTTGATTCCAGGGCACCCTGCATGGGATGGCCAGTACCTGAGGTGCCTCATAGCAGTGGGTTGGTTTTTTTTGGAAGGAGTAGAGCAGTCCCAACTGGCTCTGGGGTGCTCCCGCAGTCCCATGGCTTTGTTTGAGGACAGGGTGAGAGCCACTGTCCCTGTTCCTCACGGAGCTCCGCATCCTACCTGCTCACCACTGCACAGGGAGCACAGCAAGTCCCCAGTGAGGTAAAGGCAAAGGCAGCTGGGTTGGTGTAAGGTTTTTCATCACTACTCCCTCCTTATTAATGCCATGTAATCAGTCAGTCCACAAGTGATTAATAATGGCTCTAATTGCCTTTCTTCTCTGCCTTCCCACTGGCAGAGGCATCTGCACAGGCCTGCCTTTGCTGAAATCCACTTGTGTGCTCCAAGACAGCGACTGTGTCACCTCTGCACAGGGCTGGTCCCATCACTGCCCAGCTTTGCACTGGCACCCAACATGCAGTCAGGGGGTGAAGTGAGCACCCCATTAGCTGTCAGACCTCTATGTTGGTGCCAGGGGCTGATTCAGTTTATTTTCAGTGACTGTACACACTGGTTTATTCTTAATTTCATTTTTAATTAACGGGCACTCACCCCAAAAAGGTATTTGCTGGTATGAAGGTTGTGTGAATGCACTAGAAATGCAATAAACAGCTGCACTTCAGTGTTTTTGGTCCCCACAGTAGCAATGAAGTGAAAGGCTGGTTCCCTGTATAGCACTCAGCAGTATGAGAGGTCAGAAAGCATAAGCAATGCAGCTGTGATATGAGACCACAGCCGCTGCAGTGAGATGGCCTCCCTCCAGCATGGGCAGGGATTGAGATGCAGTAGCTCCAGCCCTCTCTCTGCAACAGGAAGGACCAGAGCTGCTGCTTTTCTTACCAGCTCTTTGCAGCTCTCAGTAGCTTAAGAGAAGACTTGAAGATGTATATGAAGACATGGCTCCAGAGGGTACTTTGTAAACCTTGTGTTCCCAAGGGATGGATGTGCTGTGGTGGTATGGAGAGCAGGCTCTTCACCTTGGCTGCACCTGCTTGGCTGCACATCACCCAGGTGAAGTGCATTCAAGCCTTTGGTGCCAGGGTGCCTGGACCCACCCCAGCGAGGATCTGAAGCTAGTGATCCAAAGCCTGTGCAAAATGAGCTGCAGAGATGCAAATACATCCTAAAGCACTTCAGCCATCATCAGCTACTAGAAGGAGAACTAACCTGAAATCCATCATTCCTGTGTGGAAGCCAAATGACTGAAAAATCATTACATGTGCCAGCTCTTAAGTGATGTGTGATGAGGTGCTTAGCAGTTGATCATGGGAGAGAAGAAACTGCTTTATGAAAGAGAGGGAGGGGGAAAGACAGAAGAATCTGCCTACACCAAACTGAACCTTCTCCAAGAGATGAGACACAGGTTTTGTTGCGCTGAAGTAACCACTAAAAAAGAGAACCATTGAACTTGGTGATGGAAAAAGAAATATCTTGGTTCAATAGGTGGGGTCCCAGTAGTAGTGGCTGCGGTCAGTCTCCAGCTGTGTCATTGCTCTAATGAAAGATCCTGCTTTTCACTGGGAAACCTGGTGAAAACATTTGCACTGAGGGCAGATCCACTCAGGAGCATGGTGCTGCAGCCAGCAGTCCTCCCACTGCACCGCGTTTCAGCACCCCTTTATTAGTCCTTTAGCCATTTTATACCTAATAACCTATCTTTGGCCCCCGATCTCTCTCTGAGAAGCTGATCTGCTGATCTCACCCATTCTTGCTAAGCACAAGTGCCACAGTCTCTTCCAGCTTATACTTTGCCTATAACTTAAAGAAAACATGGGTGTTTCAACAAGTTCAGCTAAGCATCAGGGACTTCTCCATTGCTCACCACTCATCCCAGCATGGGGCAGTGTCCAGCCAGATCCAATGGGGTTTCATGTGTTTTTGTTTTTTTCCCAGGTATCCAGTAAAATATTGCCTGCCTTGAGGCCAAGCAGTAATTTCTGTTGAAGCATACACCCATCCACTTATCTTTGACAGGTAATTCTTTTAGCCTGTATTTAATTCACTTTGTGTGCTGTGTTGATTTTGTACTGAACCGGCTTCTTGTGGAATACTAAGTCAAATATTTTACACAAGCTTAAATCAACACTATTTCCTTTATTAAGCATAATTGTAATCTCATTTAAAAAAAAACAGCTAGTTTTAGAAGATCTATTCCTTATCAGCCCCCATTGATGGGCATTAATGATATTATCCCTTCCTATTTTTTCAATCTCTGAAGTTGTTTCTCATTGTCTGGGATGCATTATCTCCCCATGATCAAAGCTCAGCAGGCCTGTCTATATCCCAGTCCTTCCACTTCCCCTGAAATAGCAGCTTTCCTTCTGCTGTAATTTTGCCTGTACTCTATGAGCTCTGCAAAACCAGCATTAGCGACCCAGAAAACCCAGTAAGTTCTCTTCAAAGCACTTCTATGCAAATCATTTCAACTGCTGATTTGAAGATGCTTAGCTCTTGTAACAATTGCATGCTACCCCCTGAACTTCTGTTATGCAAATTGTTGTATCATCATCATCTGATGGGAATGCATCATTTGTGGTTGTTTTTCTCCCCACATTCAGAACAGGAATACTTGTTCATTGAAAACATTTGCCTTTCTGCATAATTATTGCCATTTCTATAATTTCAATTTGGTCACAGTCCAAAGACATTGTTTGGCTTCGCTTCATCCCTAATATATTTTAAAGACTTTTTCGTACTGCTCTTTTCTCTGGAGCTGCAGCCTGTCTCTTGTATTATTTTCCTCCCCTTATCTAATTTATCCAGTTTCTAATTTCCAAATTACACTAATTGCAACTTTACCCTTTTCTGTTTGTTTTCTGTGTGGATGCAAACATTGCTCCTTTCATTGTTTCTCTGTGACATGTTTGATTTCTGTAACCAACTTGGGGATCCTTTGCCAGAAGTGGGACTGGGGCTTTCAGAGGCTTTGGTTGCAGGAGCCTACAGAGGTATTTCTGGGTTCTGTTTCACAGTTTGCCCTGGTAGAGAAGTGTTTTGCATTATAAAACTGGCTTTTCCAATGTACCAAATGGATGTGTGACCAGCTGAGGTTTCTTTCCAGCTTTCCATGAGTTATGATGAACACTCGAGCTTTTCCTCCTGGAGGAATGGCTATAGCTCTGTCCTGGAGTTAATTCCTCTCTGCCTGAGAGCAAATACTGCTCTGTTGGATGCCACTTGTCTTTGCATTAGCTGAAATAAACTCTAGAGCTCCAGTGGGTGCTGACAGGTACACAGAGATGCCTGTTTTCTGACAGCCCTCTCCAAACACTTTCTCATGCTTTCATCTCAAGTTTCTACTCCTCTGTCAAAGGAATACATTTGATGGGCTGGGAGAATAAGTACACTCGCAGGAGAAGCAGCTATTGCTCTAAAGACGGTGCTCCAAAAATGCAGTTCCTCATTGCTGGGATCGTTGGGCTAGGGCTTTCTCACCTTGGCTTTTCTGCATGGGGCTAACTTGTCAATTGATGAGCGTTTTCTGCTGGTCAGGCAGCATGTATTCTCAGTTGTTTGTGCTTCTGCCTTCAGGTAACAGACCTACATTACTAGAGGTCATCCTATGGCCAATTTTAAGGACGTGTCTGGCCCAGCTGCTGCTGTCAGAGCCATGCAATGCTCTTAGTGGTAGGATTTTGAAAGAGGAAGGAAGGTTGACAGGAAGCTCTTAATTTAGGTGACAATTTGGAGGCGTGTTGTCTACCTTCAGGAAGAGTGGTCACCTCTCTGGTGGCTCTGCTAAAAACTTTGTGAGATGAGCAAGGAAACCTGGCAGCCCAGCCAGCATTCAGATGGCTGCCCTGGGGCTGCTGCCTTCCCTGGACCACCTAGACCTGGGGCTGGGTTTGCAAGGGCTGGCGTCTGTTGTCCTGAGTATCTCTTCTCCGTGATGCTGCATCTCCTCTTGAGTCTCAGCCAGACTCTAGGGGCTTGTACCCAACACTTGTGCCAGCCTTGAGGGAACTCCCCTTTTAATCACCTCCCCACGTACAGGCACTGCAGGTTTTCTGTGCACTGCTCTAACAATGAGCTCCCAGTGAAAACCTCTGCTCATCTGGATAGCTGTGTATTGGTCACACTCCCTGCTGGTGACTTCAGCAGAAGATGAAGGCCAGCAAACCATGCAGGCAGCACCCTCCTCTCTGATGGAGATGCTTTTCTTTGCTGTTTGCTCAGATTGTTTAAAACAAATTGCATTAATTTCTTTCATGCTTCACAGTCTGATTTTTTTTTTTTTTTTTTTGCCAGAAAAAAAACCACATTAGGTTATGAATAAATGGAGAATAACATATTATATCCCTGAGAAATTTTAGTCTTCCATGACATTGCTACCCACTTTGATAACTACTTGTTCCACACAGGAGCCAAGTAAGTAGTTTTCCTCTAATTTATGTCACTAGGTTGTAATTACTTTCTAGTAATAGCTTTGTGTGATGCTCTGTATAAATGCAAAACATAAAAACAGTCCCTAGGAACTTGCAGTTTGAATGACATAGAAAATGGTGCCATATTAACAAATGGAGGATCATGCTGGGCCTTTTCTATCCATAGCTGGCCATCAGATCAGGCTGGTATTGGGTAAAGTACAGTCACTCCACAAGCATCAACTCTGATTTCTCACATTAAAATTATCATATTAAGCAAAAACCACAACCAGAGTCTGTGCTAAGTTTCCTTAAGTGTTAAATACAAAAAAGCATTCTACTAAAGCAAGGCCTCACAAGCATCTTCCTCGTCTTGTATGCCAGCCCATGAATTTCCCAACCACTGAGCTTCTCCACAATGTTGCTCTTCTCTCTTTACGCCAAAACCTCTCATGTGGTCAACCATATCTCACTCTGCAGCCAGCAGTGTTGAGTGTGCTCTCTGCAGTGACCAACTGGCAGGTGAAGGGATGCTCACAGTATCCAGGGGCAGGGAAAAAGCCACATTTCCAAAACACATGGCACTGTGTGCATCTGCAGCACCAAGGTCCTTTGAAACAGCCTCTTGTAGCAAGACATCTGTTGGACATTTTGCATTCTCAGGATATCAGGATCTAAAATCTACAGAGAAGAATTAACTGAACAGCATCTCCAGGAGCCCACTCACACCGATGACCTCTGCATACACAGCAAAATTGATTAAATGTACACTTACTTGCCTGCAGCTTCAGCAGGGCCAGTAGGTCAATCACATTAATATCAGATACTCTGGTTTATTGGAGATTTCCTGTGGAAATGAATGTCAGCATGGTTGAATCCAGAAATGTAAAGATTCTCGGGAAAAGTCAAACATAAATGGATCGTATCTTGCAGTTTGACAAAGCTTTTTCCATTGATATTTCTCCCTAGGCACTTCAAGCTATGGATGCAATATAGGATGTGCTCTGTGGTTAGAAGAGATGTCTTGTCAGATGAAGTGTCCTAGCACAATGCAGAAGCGAGTGAAATGTGGTGGCTTTTGGGATGCAGTAGATCTTCCATGACATTGGAGATGTTATTATCAACACCTCCATCTCTATTAGTGGCCTTTCATAGGTAAGGAGACAAATCAAGATTGCTGAGGCAGGAGCTATCGGACACATTTAAGTTTCCTATCATAAAAGGAGATTGACCGTAGCCTGGAAGTACATGTTATGCTGTGACTGCAGAAGATGGTCCTTGTTTGCAAGAAGCCAGCAGTTTTGGAGGCTCAGAGGGCGCTTGCAGCAGAGCTAATGGGATGGCCATGGCCCATCAGCCTTTCCACTCTTTCCTCTTTTGCAGACTCCTGTTCGCAGTTCAGTCTCCTGCTTCCTCCATTGCTTCCCTGCACTGAAACAGCCTTTGTGCTGTGATCAGCATCACAGCAGTTTTAACATCGTGGCCACGTGGGCTGGAGACAGGGAAACAACAGAGCTTGGGAATTTCTTCTGCTCTGCTTTATTGCCTCAAAACAGGCCACAGGCTGTAATATCTGCCTTCAGGAGATATTAAAGTTTACAGCACAGTATATTAGCAAACTACCAAGCATTCAAATGTATAACTTCAGATATCATAGTGTCATAGAATAAGGTGGAAATTAAAGGATAGAAAAGGTGAGTGCTTCAGTGGTCCTGCCTTCTCCTGCCCCAGCATCACACAGGAAGTGTGACACTGACTCTGTGCAACCCATCAGAAAGCTCTGCTGAAACCAGTGAAATGAGAAGGACACAAAGCTACTGGGACAGGGTGTTCGTATGACTGGCAGCTGCTTGCTAGATTTCATGTTTTGTTTACTCATATTCATCCTCATCAGATTAAATTAGGTTTCGAAATGCTTTAAAACTGTTGGACAAATTCAGTATATCATTAAGGGAAGATTCATTTTTCTGTGCAGCATTATTAAACTTCTATCTAATATACACCCTTTTTAGTACCAGATTTTTGTAAGTTAATTACCCAAAGCTTTTCTGCACCAAGAACACCAATGAAGCCTCTAATGGACTGCAATCAAGAAATTCTTTATTATTAATATAGAGAAGTGCTTGGATTTATGTTTAAAGGCAAAAAAAAAATGAGGAGTATTGCCAGATCTGTGAAAAATATATGTTGCATTTGTATTTTCAGAGGCTGGATCATTCCTTGATTACTTCATCCCCTGGTTACTTTTACAGATGGGATGTATGTGTCTGTATGAAAAGAGTGGTTTGCCAAGGCCCCTGTGGTACCTGTAAACCCCAGGCAGCAGCAATTGCCTTCTTTTTTCCCTGTGGTCTCAGGATTGCTTGTGGTCTCAGCTGTTCCCATGACTGGTCCAGTTCCAAGCTGTCATTTCAAACACCAACCTGCATTCAGTCCTGAGCAGCTGAGACACAGCCAGCTGCATGTAAGGGGATTTATGGGCAAGAAGAGAACATGTAAGAAAAGGCAGGCAAAAATAGACAAATGACAAGAAAAATGTCCCAGCACTGTTCTTTGACCAGAGCAAAGCAGAAATGGGAGAAGCTCTCAGAGTGGAGTACATGAAGATTTGTATTCTGGGTAGAAAATAAACCAGCAAAGACTGCAAATATCAGCACTGTGGGGAATGTATCGCAGTTCCCTGTGAGGGAAACGGTGTCAGCATTGAAATGCTCTCCCCATCTCCTCACACAGTCTGCACATCCCCTGTGCAACACCCCGAAGGTATTACATGAGCATTTGAAACAGTAAATAATGAATTTGCTCCTCTATAAATGCTCTCTGAATGCCCCTCAATAGATGCTGAGCATGGTGGAGTTTTGGAGCCCTCTCTCAAGATTCAGACTCCATGTGGCAGTGGAAGGGAAGTTGGGAAGGGCTCCCCAGCCTGCTTCTCCCTGCCCTCCCTGGCTGCAGGGACAGTGATCTGCTGGGGGGACCATGGATTACCATGGGAAATTAGGTAGCAAAAGGCTTATGGATGCTGTGACATATGCTCTCAGAGGGCTTGATAAACTGCCGCAATATCTACCTACTCATCCACTTTCTATTTCAGAGGCAAAAAGGGCAGCCATCATTAAGGTAAGTAGCCCTCCGAGAGCTTTCTTTCTCTAACTTGTCTACAACTGTAAGACTTTTAAGAGATGAAGGGCATTAGGAAGGCTAGAAATAAACATGATACTTTTATTGGTTTATATATTTTTAGGCAGAGAAGGCTTCTATCTCCTATGTAGGAAACATAATATGAAAGAAAGGTGTACCTGCAGTGCTATAGAGCTTTCCATAAAACAGTGCAAGGAAACCAGACGAGCATTCAAGAACAATCCTGAGCTTAGCATCTTTGGTACTTCAGTCTAATTTATTGCCTCTTAAGAAGTGACTTAACCAGAGCCTTGACATGAGTCTGTTCAGGGGGAGTACATGACACTGTCACTTAGCAGAAAATGGGTCAATAAAATGGGAGCTGAACCCAGACAAAAGGCTGAAAAGATGGCAAATGATGTTTAATAAAGACAGTATTTAAGAGGCTGTGTCGATACTCCAGCTTCACCCCCACTGCAGGGCTGTGCATCAGGGATCCTGATCTGAGGCGTGTTCAGTCAGGAATTACAGGATCAGATTCAGGCTGGGAGGCTGCAGTCAACCTCAAAATCTGTTCTCATCACTTGTGGCCAAAAAAGCTTTGATTGTATCCTTTGATTTCTGCTTAGGCAGTGTCATCGCAGGACAGAGAAGGCTGGGCATCTTCCTCCCATTACGCAGGGAGGTGTCCTTGCCTACCTGCCTCTGATTATCTGATCACATAGGGGTATGTACAAGCCCTCACCTCCTGCGTAAGGGTGGAGCAGCCCTCTGGGACTCGTCCTTACTGTCTGTGGTGGAGGACACATTTGTGCACTCACAGGCATGGAATCGCAGTGGGATTCTGCAGGGAGAGGCACAGCACAAAGCCTGCTCAAGGGGCAGCTTGCCTGCATGGCGATACCAATGCTTGGCTCCTGCAGTGACTGGGGAGTCTGCAGGCAGTTTTTTCCAGCTGAAGAGCTCCTCACCTCCCGCTGCACTTTAAGCTGTAGGGTTTAACTGATATTAGCCTTTTTCCAGCTGCTTGAAATGTAGTGAGCAATGCTGTTTTGCTTCCCTGCTCTGCCATTTCTGGCCTCCCTGGAGGGAGTATTTTGGCTGTTGTCCCATCTGGAGATGTGCTTGGAAATTTGGATCAGTCCAGGGAGCAAACTCTTTCATTCTCCTTGCAAATGTCACTGAAGTTATTTGGCTTCCTAGTTATTTCTATGTCCATCTACTCATTGTAAAACATTGTCCTGCCCTCAGTCATGGTGCTGACCCTCCTATGGCTGATCCTCATTAGCATGAGCTGTTGCTTGTGGTTTTCACATTGTGCTTTTGCCAGCTGTGCTTCCACAAATACTGTGGCTGGGCATCAAACAGGGGCTGCTATGCATGTAGTAGACATGGCACAGGCAGCACAGTGCATGTACAACATGGTGTGTGCACAACCCGGTGCCTATGCAGCATGCAACACAGGGCACATACAGTTCAGTGTGCATACAGTACCATGCATATACAACACAGAGCACATACAACATGGTGCACATAAAACATGGTGCATGTATGGCATAGTGCACAGGCAGCACTGAGCACACAGAGTGCTGTGCATGGACAACACAGTGCCCAAGATCACAAGCAATCAGGTCACTTGAGGAGCTCTGAAAGAGATGAACTCCCCAGCTAGGTTCAGTCCTGGTGGCTCTGACAGAGCCAGGCTTTCCTGTGCAGCCTGGTGTCTCCCCACCTCACTCCCAGCCCACCTGAGGACCACGTTTTTTTGTTCATTCTTACTCCCCCCATCACACTGTAACACCATACGCCTGACTGGAGCTGTTTTCTTTTGCCCGTGCAGCCCAAAGATCTGCCAGGGAGGCATAAGGCTTGGTCCCTCAGCTCTACACACAGTAAAACGGCTTCAGTAAATCAGCTTGCCAAAGATTACTCCAGTGAGGCCAATAAAGTGAGTGTTCAAACAGTGTTTCAGCCCTGCTCTTCAAAACCTGCTGTTTAGAGGAAATAAGCTCAGCATAATCCTGATGGAGAAACCAAGCCTGGCTCTGCAAAACTGCTGAAGTTTAGGACTTGTCCTAAAGACATCTGATTGATTGATGCACAGAGTGTGAGCAGGTGGAGAAACTTCCACCAAGACTGGTACGTGCCCTGCAACCCCAGCACTAGTGTGGCTATAAGCTGGGATGCCCTTGTAGCCAGGGCATGTGCAGACCTCAAGGCAACACCAGGTGGGAAGAGATGCATCAGCCCTGTGGGACCAGAGTGGCTGTCCCTGTTCCATACCAGGGCTTTGCTGGGATCAGGCACCAGCTGCTGCAAAGCACCTGCTGAAATAGAACTTTTCTGTAAGATGAGCTTCTACCCTGGCTGAGGGGGGTGGTAGAAACAAGCCTGCAATGTGATGAATTCCGTCCTATGACACTGACTACCTGTTGCAGCTTGATTTGCTGTTAAACAGGATTGTTTCTGCTTCTCTGTGGTATCTCTTCAGTGTTCAGAGCACTGCCCAAGACCACAGCAGTAAGATGTTCCTGTGAATCACAGAAACCAGGATGCAGGAGAATTACTTTTGTTCAGTGAGCTGACCATTCTTCTGATCATTCTCATAATTTATTTAAAATTAGTAGTGTCCTAGCATCATTACAAAGAACATGATCTATGTAAGTAATAGGCTGAGGCAGTTCCATAGCAATTCTACTGCTATTATCATCCTCTTAAACACCACTTACAGGTAGAAGTATTTATTTGTATGTATATATACACAGAGCTTAATATCAGTGCAGGATCAAGCTTCTTAGTGAAGAAGAAATCTTTGCATCTAACCTCAAAGATACTGCTCACAACAAAAATACTTGGGGAGTAATAGGGAATGTGAATGCTGCACAAACACTTGGAAGAGATCCAAACCCATGCTTTTAAAACCTACATCAAACCTTCCTGTTCTGCTGCTGCTGCTGTGATATCCTGTACAGAGATGTCAAATTACTTAAAGGCTGAAATCTGTGCAGCTCAGCACCTTTTCCAACAGCAAATTAAAGACTGAAAGTGTCACCAAACTGTGTGAGGAGGTTTGCATGGTGTAAAGTGGCAAATTTCCCTGCATTAATATGCTTTTAAGGGACAAATTCACCCAGCAGTTGCTTTACCAGCTTGTAAAATGTGCAGCGTGAGCACAGCTGACACACAAGGCAGTACAGACACAGACCTCTCGCTGCTCAGGAAAATTGCTTTCTCTGTGCACACTTTAGGAGCTTTATCAGTCTATAATTTACCAAGGCTGTACTTGGCTATATTTCTGCATGAGCCTGGATCAGCTCCATCTCACTGGGCTGAGCACATCCCTGACTCAGGGCAGGTGGTTGCAGAGGGGTACTTTGTAAGGCAGAGCATCCCTTTTTGCCTTGCCTGGGAAGGCTGAGCACATAATGGAGAGGGTGAGGTGACAGCAGGACTGTGTTGGCACCAAATGGATCCCAGGGCTCTGGAGAGCAAATGGAGAGGAAAAA